GAACAAACATTGCTGAGCAAACACGTTTAGTGTCGAGCATTTCGAAGCGAAACTCCTTTTACAATTTATGTATCTTAGAAGCAACATCGACGCGTGACTTTATTGAATTTATCGTTGTAATTGCCAGTGATTGCCCACAATTTTACTGCACCCTAAATTATTTTAGCTGCACACACAAATATACACATATAAATATTTATAAATTAGATACACTTATGTACATAAATAACTAAATAAATAACAAAAAAAAGTGCTTTTGCAAGTTGCTGTCGCGCATGCGCTCACAAAATGTGCAACCATTCTCCATTCTCCATTCTCTGGCTATACAAGAAGCATTGCCAACTACAAGACAAAATGAATGTGTGGGGGGGGGGGGGAAATTGGCGAAACTATTATTTACATATACATATATATATATATATATATATATTTAAAAATAACTGCAATTAATTTAAATAATGTTTGTAGTAGCAAAAACAACATACCTATACTATGTACGTTGCTTTGCTCGTAGCTCATGTGTGCTTATGCATTTTTTGTACAATATATAATTCAAACTGACGGATATTCATTCAAGCTTTTAGGTGGGAATGCTGAGAATTTATGAACAAAAAAAATTAAAAAAAAAAATAAAATCAATTTGTAGAACAAGAATGTAAACTTCATTGCAGTGGCACTTTAATGCGGTATAATTTAGCTAATTATATAAACATATATTAAATTCATATGTACTTGTACGAGTATATGGTATTTCATTGCAATCGAAAGCGATTGTAGTTTTAAATAATTAATTGCGCTTATTTTTCTGCATGTGACTACGCATAAAATAAGCTAATGAAACTTAATCAGCAACGTGAAGCATGATAAAAACTGAAAATCTTTACAAAAGTATTATATGTATGATTTTTTTTTTGCTGAATTATGTAATTCCATTTCGCTCTGAAAAAATTCTTTTTTAATTTTTTTATTTTAAATAAAATCAAAATATTTAGAAATTAAATACAAGTTTTAAATTATTTTATATATATAAGGTCAAGTAAAAAGTTCCTTCGGTTTTTATATATTGACTTTTCAAAATATGATTACTTTATGTACTTTTGTACTTGTTGCCAAGGAGATGCCAAACTTTAGTATACCCCTCTCGTAAAAAGCTGCGTCCCTATTGGCAAAAAACTCGGAGAGCCAATTTTCACAGGCCTTTCTTCAGGTCAACATCTCACCATTAAGCGCGTTCGCTGTGGACAGGAAAATATGGTAGTCACTTGGTGCCAGGTCCGGATTATAAGGCAGGTGCATTAGGACCTCCCATCCGAACTCTTGGAGCTTCTGGCGCGTCACCAAAGACATGTTTGGCTTGGTGTTGTTCTGATGGAACACAATTCGGTCTCTGTTCATAAAAGATGGCCTCTTCTGGATGAGCGCTGCCTTCAAGCGGTCCATCTGTTGGCATATGGTAGTTCCTCGTAGTAGATGATTTTTTGCCAGTCCCACCAAACATACAGCAAAACCTTCCTGGCCGTCAATCCGGTATTGGCCACCATCTGGGTCGCTTCCACGAGCTTTGAACACGACTGTTCGCGCTCGATGTTGTCGTAAGTGACCCATTTTTCATCGCCAGTCACAATCCGCTTCTGAACCGAGTCGATTTTTTTATCGATTCAGCAGCGATTCGCAGATGGAAATTCGGTCCATCATGTTTTTTTTACGTTAGTTCGTGTGGCACCCAAACAGCGTGCTTCTTTTTGAATACAAGGTTATGCAAATGGTTCCAAACGGGTTTCTGGCTTATCTTTAGTTCCTCAGCAAATAAATAAGTGCCACACGGGACGGTCTGTTTCCACTATTTCCATAATTTTATCGCAATTTTCAACGACAGGCCTCCCGACGTGTGGTGCATTTTTGAGCCGTTTTGGCTGCTTTTTCGCCTTGATCGAAGAAAAATTGTAAAATGTAGCGAATTTTCTCTTTGCCGGTGTCCATATTTGACGAGCGCTCACAACGTACAGAGTCAATCAATCGCCAAATATATTCTTTCAAGGTGTCAATCGTCTCATACTTATCAAATGATTTTACAGAACCCCACATAAAGTAATCCAGCGGTGTTAAATCGAACGATCTCAGAATTTCCTTCGAAAAATTGATTGTTTCGTTAGCTGTATGGCATGTAGCGCCATCTCGTCGGAACTAATAGGTGATTGGTGGTTGGGTGGTCAATATCCTTAATTCCAAGTCAACAAATCATTACGGCCGGTTTCTTTTTAAAAAAATTAATTTTACAAGATTTGCAAACATTGTTCAGAAGTAAATCTGTCGACGACTGTCTGGTCCTGGATGGCCCAATCAGGTCTACGTTACAGAGTAGGCTTATCCAGCTATGATTTTTTGTGGAATGAGCAGAGCAGAGCGCTTAGGTTCCAACCGACAGCCATGAACTCAACCGGCCATTTCTTGAAAAAAGTCGATGCCAAGTAATTTCAATTGCATAAACTAAAAATATATATACGAGGTGTAATCAGAAAGTATTTATTTATACATTAATAACAATCTTGTCCCCTTCAAAGTAATTCTCCTCAGATATAATACACTCGATTATGTGAGCTGGTGTACTTTCATTGTGCGAAATCCATGATTATTTTTCCACAAATCTGTGCGCTTAACTTCTAGATAGTATTTATTATTGATCGTACTACCTTGTGGCAAGAATTCATGATGTACCATTACATTCCAGTCGGAGAAAACAGTGAGCAAAGCCTTCATATTTGACCGAACTTGATGTGCCTTTTTCGATCTTGGCTCTTCTGGACGCTTCCATTAGAATGAATGGGCTTCGGTTTCAATGTCATAGCCATAGACCCATGATTCGTCACCAGTTATGACATGTTGAAGTTCCCGGGCGACCAGGACGAGCATGGTCATTGACATCTTCTCGGCATTCCTTAAACCCAATAACCCAATTGAACTTGTGTTCTGCTCATGGTGGACTCGCCAAACGCCGCAGTAAACATTTCAAATATCCTGGAGCATTTAATTTAGTTTTTTGCAAAAAAAATTAATACATTTTTTTTATCCATTTTTTCGAATAGTAAAAATCGAAGAGCACGCCAAAACACGACTAACCTTTTTATCTGTCAAAAAGAAAACTGACAATCTAAAATGGCTGATATTGCAAATATATTGTATATAAAAGACATGTGGACCAACATAATAGGAAAAAAGCGAAAACCGAACATAAGTAACTCACGAAATTTGAAAATAACGGATATTTTCTGATCACATCTCGTATATATAATTGGCACTTTGCAACCGCTGAAGCAATTTTCGACCGAGCTCAACCACCAGTTTGAGCTTTTGCGTGTTAATGTTTTTCCCAACTAATGCAGGGACCTGCAGTTTATACTAAACCGCCCCCGAACAGCTGATGGTTTTTTTATTAGGAGCTTTTTGGGTTTCCTGTCAGACATTCCCTGTCGAGGGGCGACCGCTATTAGAAAATTCAATTTAAATTTTTATAATTTTTGGATGTTGGTCGGACCAGGACTCGAACTCTAGTACCACTCGGCTATCGCGGCCGCCAAAAATATATATTTCAATTTAAATATTTTTCAGTTTCTTATAAATATATTTTATATTATTCAATATTTAATTTAAATGTTGTTTAATTCATATATTTTTTCCTTTTTTCTTTAATGTTTAATTTAAATATTTTTTGTTGATTTTCATGTAGCCGTTATACTGCTTCAGATATTAATTTATTGTTGTACCAACACATAACAATAAAATTGCGTGGAAAAGCCGTAACCTTGGCCACGAACTTGGTACTGAAAATAAAAATGGATGCAAAACGTTAATGAAAAACAAATAAATTGTAGTTTTACCATTGGATATATGTATGTACGAGTAGATAACGTACATTCAAGCGCATTTACTTTTGCGCTTATATGAATATTTATACTAACTTTTGCTTTAATTAAACACCTTTAAAAAGCTGCTTTGTGCGAATTTCTCACGTTTTCCAGCATACATACATACACACATATATATATTTGCATAATGTTACTTCACTGAGACTATTTTATTTTAATTATTTTAGTTTTTTTTGCACTTCATTTGACGCATTTTTAGGATTTTAGGTTAGGGATTTTTTTTCTTTGCGGTAGCAGCAGCTAACTCAATATACATACAATATAAGTTTATATAAAAATTTGTAAATATTATTATGTAAAATTATTTTATGTACTTTTCTGCACTCATAACTTTTGCCCAGTTGTTGCTCTGGCAATTAAATTAAATTGCAGCTGCAATTAATTACCGTTTCCATTCACAATTCACAGGCAAACCGCTAATTTATTACAATATTTTTACTTACTGATTTTGATTTTTTTCCTTATTCCTCCTAACGGCCACAGAATTACGCTCAGTGAGCGTGACTAAGTGCGCTAAACGCTTGGCTTCGAAGAAGTACACCCATGTATGTATGTATGTATGTATGTATGCATGTATATACGAGTACGTATTATAATTAACGAAGAGAAGTGAAATAATTAGATAAAATAAAATTTAAATGTTACTGTACTTGCAGGCAGACATATAATTGTTGTTTAAAACAAAGAAGTAAAAACCAGAAATAGAATAAATATTAAACAATTTATAGTCAAACACATATATATGCATATCTAATATCTAATATAATTGAGCAAAATATTCTCAACTATTACTTAATTGCAACATTATAAGTCAAATTGCCAACATTTCAAACAATAAACGGTTTATTACCGTAATTTAGTTTAATGTGCACTGTGATTTGTAAAGGATTTGTTTGCCATTTCCTGCCTTACTTTGTTGGAAAAAAGGGGAAAATATTTACTATTCTAAGTAGTAAATTTTTAGCTTGGGAGCAAATTTAAGAGAACAGTGGGAACCGATTTCTTAATATAATTATTTTTAAATTTTTCTTTTTGGGCTATGATTATTTTTAATAATTTTTATTTTACCGCTTACAGGCAGCCTTATAACAAAGGCCTGGCGCTCCTATATGGATGAATTGGATCATCAAGCAAAGCAATTCAAAAGCAATGCAGAACTACTTGAAGTCGTCTGCGAAAAGCTGACACATTTATCACAAGATAAACGTAAAGCACGCAAAGCTTATCAAGAGGAGCATGCCAAGATTGCAGCGCGCCTAAATCATGTAAGTGCTTGGAATTCATTAATTGAAAAACGACTTAGTAAACATTACAAAATATTTGAATAAGATAAAAACTAAGAGTAAATGTGTGACTACCAAAATATAAAATAATAAAAAAAAAAAAAAATAATTAAAATAATTAAAACTAAATAAAAAAAAATTATAATAAAATAAAAATAAAATAAAATAAAATAAAATGAAATAAAATAAGATAAAATAAAATAAAATAAAATAAAATAAAATAAAATAAAATAAAATAAAATAAAATTAAATTAAATTAAATTAAATTGAATTAAATTTAATAAAATAAAATAAGATAAAATAAATAAAATAAAATAAAGATAAATTTAATTAAATAAAGTTAAATTGAAATAAATTAAGTTAAATTAAATTAAATTATATTAAATTAAATTAAATTAAATTAAATTATATTTAATAAAATAAAATAAAACAAAATAAAATTGTAAGAAAGGAAACAAAAATTATACAGAAATCGATTTGTAAAAAATAAGAATGCAGAAAAATTAAAATTGTTTATTGAGCCTAAAAATTAGCTGAATGAAAAATAACGAAAATAAGTGAGTAAAAAATATAATGGAAAACATTTAAAGAAAAATGAATTAAAATAAAAACATATAAAAAATTGAATTAAATCAGAAATCTATAAAAGAATAAAATAAAATGAAAATCTTTCGTTTAAAATAAGAAACTTGAATTGATTGAGAAAGACAAAATAACATAAAAATGAGAATTTGAAATAAATCTAAAAAGGAAAGTAAATTAAAATTATTCGATTTCAATAAAAAACTTAAATAGATTAAAAAAGTACATGAAAGTATTATTAAAAAAGTTTAAATTAAAAATTAAAATTATTTTGAGTAAAGTGAAATGAAACAAAAAATACACAAACGAGACAAAATTAGCATAAACAAAATAAAGTGAAATAAATTAAAACTAAATAAATACATAAAAGATAGTTTAATATACTAAAATTTCGAATAATTTAAAATTGCTTAATTAAAGTAAAAAATTAAACAAAATTAAGCCAAACTAAATTAAAGAAAAAAAAATTAAAATTTAAAAAAAAATTAAATGAAGAAAACTAAAAATAGAAATATGTTATTATATTGTGCGTACACATTTCAGATTCATTTTAACTCCATTATTTAGGTTTTTTCGTTTTAGCAATTCAGCTTTTTTTGAATTACATAAAGAGACTGATTTTGTTACTTAAAAAATTAAAAATATAAAGGATTTACTCACTTTTGGTTAAGATTGTCGCTCGAAAAAGTTTTTTTTTTTAATTCATACAGGTGAACATTATTGGTGATTCTTACGCGATACTTTCTATATCGACCTTTAAGATTCCCCATAAAACCTGCTGCTTTTGTACTTTATTATATAAATGCTTAAATATGCATTAAACCAGCTCGCATTTTACATAAAAATTGCACGTACAAAAATAATATTTCTCTTCTTTTTTTTTACTTTAACCACAAAAATAACTACAATTTATGATGTAAACCTCTTTTACACGAACGTACATTTGCGTAGAAAATTTTTTTATTGAGTCATAAAAGCTGAAGCGCTCAAGCACAGGGAGTTTCAAGAAAACCGCATAACGCATAACGCATAACATACATACATACGCAACACACGGAATACGCGGGGAGCTAGCTCACACCTGGTCAGGCCACAAGGTAATGCGATATGTTTACAAGCAATCCAAGAATGAGTTAACGAAAAAATGCAAACTTTGAATATTTTTCTACTTAAGAGGCCTGAAGAGACAAATAGATATGTGTTTATATGCTTACCAAGACGACTCATAACATACCATTGCGCGTATGTGTGTTTGTTCATCACTCAGGCAATCATTCAGTCCAACAATACAGACATCAATCAAACATTCAATCAAAATATTGCAATAAAAGCATGTCAATTAGCCAATCAACTACATATTTTGCTATTGATATTACGATGTTCTATAGTTACGTATCTACAATACATACATATGCGAGTATATGTGAGACATACATATTCGTATTCCCTGGAAAACATAGCCCAAGCCATTTAAAGCCTTTCTGTTTATTGACATTTCTTTATGCTACTCATGAAGTGTGCACAAAATAAGAAAAAAAGAAATAAAACAAAAAATAAAAACAAAAAAATAAAAAAAAATTCAGTATTCAATAAGAAATAATAATTGAAAAATTACTTTAATACCTTTTGATTTCTCATTTAACCCGCGCGCTTTAGTACTCCAACGTAGAAGGAGGGCGGGTACAACAATGAAAGAACTATAAATATAAATACAAAAAATGTACAGCGTGTGATTGTAAAAAAGTCATAACCACTTAAGCGGCTTAGTAGAGGTGTGCGTCAACGCACGTGAAAATTTATTGCGCTGACAGGCAGACAGTGAGACGTGTGCTCTAATGTATGTCCGTATGTATGCATGTACACGACCATAATTTTTGATATCATGGCAACTGTGTATGGTGTTTGTATGTAAATATGTATATAAGTATCATTTATGAGTATTTCACTGATTGTTGATATGATCGAAAAAGAGGCGAGGTATTTAACCTGAAAAGTGCTTCTATTCAAGCTGATAAAAGGTAGAATAATATATATGTAATATTATTTATTACTTGCCTTACAACAACAATGAGGACCCGCCTCTGTGATGCCATTGAACTCAGTACTACGTTTTTCATTAATTCTTATATGATTATTGATAGAAGAGGCTACTTAAAATTTGTTAGAAAGAGATTAAAGGTAGTTAAAGGTAAACATAAATTAAATTTCATTCGGAGGACACGGGTTTTTTATGAATAAGAACACAAACAACAATGACTATTGAAGTTCGAAGCTTTAAGGGAAAGCTCAGTGGAAATATAATCAAAAGCCTTGTTGCCTAATAAAAGTTAAATTATATACAAAAACTTTTTGCATTAAAAGAATAATATGAAAGCTCTTTAGCCTTGTTACCTAATAAAAGTTAAATTATATACAAAAACTTTTTGCATTAAAATAATAATATGAAAGCTCTTTAGTAAGATCTTTAATGGTATACCTTCAAAAAGTTGAAAGAAAAATTAGAAAGCTATTTAACGAAAGCTTTCATGATTTCCCAACAGAAAGAAAAAAAACATGAAAGCTCTCACGAAAATTTGTATGCTTTCTTTTCAAAAATTTAAAGAAAATTGTGAAAAATTCATGATTTCCCTTAAAAAAATAGAAAGAAACAAATTTTTAAGCTCTGTTTTGTGACAGCTTCTATTATTGCCCTTCGAGGAGTTCAAGAAAAAATTAAAAGCTTAGAAAGTTGAAAGTAAAAAAAGTCTGTTTAATGAGAGCTTTATGATTTACTTTCAAAAAATATATTTCAACTAGGCAGCAACCATATTTTAAAAGTTTAGTTTGATTTTAGTAAAATAAAATAAAAAATTAAATTAAAATATAATTTAAAATCACTGTTATATTAAAGTTTGTGTTTTTTTTTCGTTATTCGTTACTTATAGATGGCAATAAAGTGGTGCTAATAGTTCTAGATCGCACCGTCAATAATATGATTTTTTGTTATTACCATAAAAAAACTCATACGAAAAAATTATTCTTACATTCAAGAAAGAAAAGAAAATTTCATAGGAATAATGTAATTAAAACATTAAAGAAGGAATTCATATAAAGCTAAGTGAAAGCCAATTTCATGTCAAAAAAATTTTAACAAGTGCCTAAAACTTCGAATAGTGAAAGCTTTAAAGTCGCTCATCAAAAGCTCACTTTTATAAACGGAAGCTCGGCGTTCAATGAAAGATTTAACAGCTGTTAAAAGATAACGAATTTCAAAAATAATCTTTGAAAAATATAAATTTTTTTTTAAATTGTTTATAAGTGAGTGTTTTTAACGTTTAATAGAAAGTATAGAAAGCTTACTATAAACTCATATTTTTTAAATTATGTATTTTGTAAGTGTTGGAAGTACATAATTTTTTAGTAAAACTTTTAAAGCCTTTTAACTTTTTTTATATTTGTATGTCCTTTAAAAGCAATTTTAAAGCTGGCAAGGCTTTGATTTGTAAACCGAAAAATGGTCTTCAATGATATATTTCTAAATTGAAATATGGTCTTCAATGATATATTTCTAAATTAAAAAATGGTCTTCAATGATATATTTCTAAATTGAAAAATGGTCTTCAATAATATATTTATAAATTGAAAAATGGTCTTCAATGATATATTTCTAAATTGAAAAATGGTCTTCAATGATATATTTCTAAATTGAAAAATGGTCTTCAATGTGCAAGTGCTTAAAGCTCGGCAAAAGTTCAATTTTCTAAATTCAAAAATGGTCTTCAATGATACATTTTGCAAGTGCTTAAAGTTCATCAAACACTCAACTTTGTAAATTCAAGTTTTGTGTAAGTTGTAAAAAGCTTTCTCGCAGCTTTAAAGTTTACTTACTACTTACAATTCAGATTTTCCAAAAATTCAATAGGCATGAATGTCAACTTAATGTAATTTAGCATATAGGATAATGTAAAAAAATTTAATTTAAAAGTTTTTATATAAAGCTCTGCAGGCATTTTACCTCATAAAAATCATGTATGTATTGTACATGAGCTTTTCATTAAAAAAAGGAGCAAAGGTTCTTCACAGCTTTCACTTCATTTGACGCTTGAATTATTATTTAAAAGCTTTAACCTAGAACCTGATCTGCAGCTTTAAAGTCACAGCAGAAAAATAATGATATAAATCAAAATAATTATGAAAGTGCCATTACACTGCGTATTTTTTAATATGTGTGTGCGATTTTATAAAATATACAATATTTTGGTTTATTTAAAATATATATAACTAAACTTTTCAAATTCTTCACAAACAAAAAGCAAATAAAAAAAGAAATAATTTAATTTGATGACGCCTGGTTATCGATAAAAATTCACAACGTTTGTACCATCGAGCAACTGCTACGGCAACATGAGCTAATCAAAATA